CTTGCATATTGTGTAGGCTATAGTGGGGTAGCCCATAAGGGGTACAACCCAATTTGGGTTAGTACTTGTACCCAAATTCATTCATAGTTCATTCATTCCTCGTTTCTTATCACCCTATGACCCTATAAATGAGAATATCTTTGGCTACTCGGAGCGGCAGCAGCCACTACTCCTCGAGGTGCTCTGCAAAGGGCGACGCCTCCAGGAGATGGTGGACAGTGGAGCATCCCACTCGGTGTGCGTCCGGGGGACGTTAGAGAAAATTGGAGAGTCCTTGGAGGAGACCCAGTTTACAGCAGCGATGGTGGACTGCAGCAAGCCACCCATCCACAGCGAGTCAACACTGCAGCTACAGATAGGTGCGCTGAGGTGAAAGCCGACGCTACCGGTCACGAACATCAAGGGACTATATTTCATCTTGGGACGTGATTTCTTGAAGCGGTTCATCCCAAAATTGGTTGGGTCAATCAGAAAGCCAGCATCTACAACAACGGGAAACGTGTGGAGCTGCGAAGCTGGACGGATACCGGGAATATTCCTGAGGCGACATTTGCACGATTCAAGCAAACGGTGAACAATAGTAACACGGGTTACCTGACACTGGTGATGGCAGTAGGGGAGGAGAAGTCAAACTCGGAGCTACTTGCAGGAGTAGAGAAGGTTCTAGAGGAGTAGATAGACATCATGCCGGATGATCTACCTGTAGGAGTGCCTCCAGCACAAACCCACGAACACGAGATCGTGGAAGAGCCAGGTGCAAAACCAGTCTCTCGTGCACTGTACCACCTCAGCCCAACCGAACTAGCAGACTTTGAAAAACAGATAGAGTACCAGCTGGACCGAAAACTGATCCGACCATCTACATCACCCTACAGCACACCAGTTCTCTTCACTCCAAAGCTGGACGGTAGTTTACGGATGTGCATCGATTACCGGGCACAGAACAAACAGACAGTCAAGAACAAATATCCTATACCGCGCATAGACGACCTCATGGATCAATAGCGTGGTGCAACGGTATTTTCGAAACTGGACCTACGGTCGGGTTAGTGACAGATAAAGATGGCAGACATCTCGATTCACAAGACGGCGTTCCGTACAAGATTCGGCTCCTACGAATACTTAGTGATGCCGTTCGGACTCTGCAATGCACCAGCAACATTTCAGGCGGAGATGAGTCACATCCTACGGTCCCAGCTGGACGAGTGCGTAGTAGTGTCCATGGACGACATACTGATCTACTCAAAAATATGAAGGAGCACGTGGAGCATCTACGGAAAGTCTTCGATATTCTGCTGAAGAACCAGTTCTACGTGAAGCTGTCAAAAAACGACTTCGCCCTGAAGAAGGTGCAGTTTGTTAGGAGAGGTAGTCGGACCAAGTACATTCTTTCGAAGAGGTGGGGTTGTACACGGCGTGGGCAAACTCATCAAGGAAGGGAATATCTCCTTATAGGTTGTTTGTCTTTATGAGGAGATTTTGAACTAAATAAGCAAGGTAGGAAAGGGGCAGCTGGCAAACATTCCATATGGGTTGGATGGGTTGGGGTAGGTAGAGATTCTTTAGAGGTAGGTTTTGAGATTCAGATTCACTTACCACTCGCAAACACCATCTCCATCTGCCTGTCTTTCTCGCGCCTCCGAAAGCTCAGCTGGTCAAACTGGGCTCGTCCACCGCAGCGCGGGTGGCGGCACGGCATCACCACCCCCATAGTCACGCTCACGATCACAATCACAATCACATCCACAGCCACGGTTACGGTCATCGGCATCGGCAGCACCCCGCTCGTGCCGGCACGCTGGGGGCGTCCCTGACGTCGAAGCCGCCGCACGTGCTGTCCGCGTGTGCCGCCGTGGTGCTGCCCGCCGTGCTTCTCCTGCAACTGCTCGGCTTCGCAGGTGCGCTTTAGTAACGACTCGCCTCGGCTGCTCGAGCAAAAATATAGGCAATTTTGGCTTTATTCGCGGGTTCAAGGCGACTGGTGTTTGGAGTTGAGTCGTGGCGGTATGGCGGTGGTGGGTTGATAGGTCGGAGCGAAGGGAATTAGCGTCCGCGACGCGCGGCGACAGTCTTATCGCGCTCGAGATTCGTGCCCTCTCACGTAACCCTAGTTTCGCGACAGATGCGAATGACGGATTCCTGAGGGGCGTCAGGCATCCGCTGTCGCAAGTTCGCGTGGCCACTCGAGAAAGCTTCCGAGGGAATCCGTCGTCAGAGATCCTCCCTGCAGAATCATGACACGGGGGAGAGGGGGAGATGGGGAGAGAGGAGGAGGGGGTTGTGACAATACGAACGGGGCCCAGCCGAAACGTGAGGAGTTCATGAAAGCGCGCTTGCTCGTTGAGCGACTCGGTTGCAAGGCTTGGTCGAGAGGCTTGGTGGAGAGTGGCCGTAAGGCACGGCACGGCGTACCACCCGCTGTGGCTGTGCCATGCGTGGTGCCGCCAGTTACCAGGCCGCGCATGCACTCTTGCAGATTAGCTATAGGCTATAGCACTAGGTGACGGCAGGAGACTGTGGGTGATGGTGGGTGGGTGGCATACACGGGCGAGATGGAAGGGTAAGTGTGTGCAGGCACGGGCCGTACGAGAGGCAGCTGTGTGTGATCAATGATCATGGCCCGCATCAATGGGGGCGTCAGTGCCCCCTTCCATGCCATGGTGCTCAGCAATCCAGTCACTTAGCTTACCTTGCCCTACCCCCCCACCCACCCCTTCTCTTCCGTGCGTTTCGCCTCCTTCCCCTCGTGCATGGCCCTCCCCTCCTCCCCCTTCCTCTGTGCCTTGTGCGTGCACACAAGCGCTGCCGCCTTTGCTGCTCGCCCTCTCGAGGGAAGCCGGTGGGAAGGCTTGCTTCTCTCTACCGAGGCAGCTGTAACTCAGTGCCGTGCAGTGCAGTGCCAGCACGGCAGCAGCAAGTGCTGTCCGAACGAGTGAGAGCAGGCACGCCCTGCTGTGCCTCACCTTGGTAAAGGCTTCACGCGGCACGCCCCTGCTTGCCTCTCCTATACAGGCGCACTCTCTCCTTTTCTTGATGGCTCGTCTGGTATGCTGCACTCCCTCTCCCTCCCTCTGCCCCCCCTCAGCACAACTCGTATCGCATCAGGCTCCATCGCCGCCCACACTCTCCACAGCAGCAACCACAGCAGCAACACTGGCAGCACCAGTACCAGCAGCAACAGCAGCAGCAGCAGCAGCAGCAGCAGCCGCAGCAGCGGCGTTTGCGAGAGCAGGAGTGATTGCAGCAGCACCAGCAGTCGCTCTCCCCGTTGCCTTAACACACCCTCTTCTTCGTGGCTCCTCTGCCCAGCCTCGGATCTTTGGAGGCTGGCACGTCGGTGGCGAGAGGGAAGGCAGCAGGCGCATAGTGAGGGGCGCAGGTAGCGGAGCAGGAGGAGTGGCGATCGACGGGCGAGGAGGGGAAGGAGCAGGCAGAAGAGCAGACAGAAGAAGGGGAGAAGAGGTGCAGGAGGGGAAGGAAGACGCGAGAGCAGCAGGGGAGATGGCAGACGCAGAGGCTGATGCGCGTGCCTTTGCTGCAGCAGAGTCTGCAGCTGCCGCTGCTGCTGCTGCTGGCTCTGCTGCAAGTGGCCCTACAGGGAGTCACGCGGAGGAGGAGGAAGAAGCAGCGGTGTCACCACGGTCCCCAACGCCACTGCCAACGGCGCATGTGGAGGTGGAGGAGGCGGAGGTGGCATGCAAGGAAGAGCTGGTGGCCCTGCTGAAGCAGCACGAGGGCAGGCGCAGCAACGTGTTCCTGCTCTTCCTCGCAGACCACGTGCCCTCCACCAACCGATCCTGGTGCCCTGGTAATGTGAAGTGCTTTGCGCTCTAACTCGTCGCTTGTTGTGTCTAGCAGTCGTGTGGGTTGAGTTGACGATGATATATGGGTGCACACAGGTGATGATGACGTCAAGAAGGTACCTGTGTGCAAAATGGCTGTGGAGGTGTGGTGTGTGCGCTTTCTCCTTCACCATCACTTGCTGTGTTCTGCCCGTTGCTCGCTCTTTCCTCACAAGTGTTTCTTGTTGGGCGTGGCTACTGGCATGACCATTGCAATTTACTGACATCACCACCGCCCAATATGCTCATGATTTCCCATAGGAGTCCACGTTTGTGTTCCCTTCGTAACATAACTTCCCTGCACTCCCTACCATCGGCTCCCTTACTCTCCCCCATCCTTCTCTTTCCCACCCTCCCCTCTCCCCCTTCTCCCCTCGCCCTCCGTTGTGTACCAGACTGTCGCAAGTCGGAGCCAGTGGTAGCCACAGCAGTCAGCAACCTCCGCAGCAACCCCATCACAGCCCCCGGCCCAGCCCACCCGGCGCTGCTGGTGCGTGTGTGGGCGGGGGACCGCCCCACCTGGAAGAGCCCCCTCAACCCCTTCCGCTCGCCCCCGTTCGCTGTCCGTGGCGTGCCCACGCTCATGCACTGGGACTGGGCTGCTGCTGCTGCTGCCGCGGATGATGCTGCGCCTTCTGCAGCTGATGCATCGGCTTTGCCTGCTGCTGCTGGTGACAGTGGTGGGGATGTGGATGGGGGTGGGGGTGTGTTGGGAGCGCCGGGGAGGCAGCTAGGGGAGTATGAGACGCGCAAGGTGCGGCTGGTCATGGAGCTCATGGCACACGCAGGGCAGTGACGTGACGTGCAGGGGCGTGGTCTCGTGGTAGCAGAGGAGGGAGAAATGATGCACGATGCCTATTGGATGTACCGGAAATACTTTCCGCAAAAATCTTGTACTGGAAGCTACAGGTTGATCTTTTCAGAATGTTTGTTTGATAGTACAATGGAAGGTACATATATACATTTTAATGAAAGAAAAAGGAAGCCGAAACACAACCTCGATACCTACCGTACTGGTCTGAAAAAAAACTAGCAGGGCTAAAGAAGGAAGAGAACAGGGACACGAAGCCCCCAGTATGTACACATGGTACTCTGTACAAGCAACCCAGCCATCAGAACTCGGCCTGGTAGCAGCAGCCCCAGCAGCAGCCCTGCCGCTCACACTCCCCTGACCACCACACCAGCACGCCGCAGCTCCCTCCTTGCCCTCTCAGACACCTTCTCCGCTTCCACCTTCACCTGCCGCAGCCGAGGGAAGCTTCCCAGAAGCCCTCCAACCCCAACAGCAGAGACGCGGTTGCATGCGACTAGAGTGGCGTGAGTGAGAGTGTCGATTGGGCATGAGAGCAGCAGGGCATCGGACATGGCATCACAGTGCTCTACTCTCAGCTCCACTAACACCCGGCATGCACGCAGCACTGCCCTCAGCTGCTCCTCCCCCACCCCACCGCACTGCACCACTGCCAACCGCCTCAGCCCGCCAAACACAGCCGCCAAGGCAATGCTCTCAAACGACTGCTGCTGCTGACCGGCACGGGGTGACAGCCAAGCGGAGGAGGAGAGGGACAGGGAGAGGGGTGATGCAGCTGATCTGGCACTGGGAGCGAGGGACGGGGGAGGAGGTGTGGAGGGGAGGCTATTGGGCAGGAAGGGTGAGCCGGGAGCAGCAGTGAAGTCAAGGCTTTCCAGCACGAGAGAGTCAAGACAGGGGCAAGTTGCTGCCACCCGTGCCATGCTCGCCGGCCAGGCCTCCTCTACCTCCTCCTCCTCCTGCTCTCCCTCCCCTTGCACACCAGCCGCAGCACCAGCGGCACCACCACCATCACCAGCAGCAGCAGCACCACCACCAGCAGCAGCAGCAGCAGCAGCAATAGCAGCAGCAACAGTAGCAGCTGCAGCTGCAGCACCAGCAGTCCCAGCAGCAGCAGCCCCAGAAGCAGCAGCAGCAGCAATAGCAGCGGCACCAGCACCAGCGGCACCAGCAGCAGCGCGTGGGGCGAGCATGGCAGACGACTGCACCCTCAGTCGCTCCACCAGCGAGTGCAGCACCTCCAGCATCCCCGCCTGCGACTGCCCTGCCACCCTTGCCCACTCCTCCTCCTCCTGCCCCTCCCCTCCTCCCCCTCCCCCTCCCCCTCCCCCTCCCCCTCCCCCTCCCCCTCCCCCTCCCCCTCCCCCTCCCCCTCCCCCTCCCCCTCCCCCTCCCCCTCCTCCAGTGAGAATCTGCCCCTCCACCGACAGCACCTCCCCGGGATCCCCCCCTCCCCCGCCAGCCCTGTCCTCTGCCTCGTGTGCAGCCCTGCGTGCGACGGTGAAGCCCCCAGAGGCCACGGCAGCAGCGAAGGCGCGCAGGGCAGCGCACTCCGCGGCCTTGGCAGCGCTGTAGTGGCGCACGCCTGCACCCACCGCGTCGGATGCCGCAACCGCCCACTGGATGCGCCGCATCGACTCCTCCTCACCGCCGGGAGCGTGGGGAGCGTGGTGGAGGGCGAGGTGGTGGGAGTAGGCTGAGCTGAGGTACTGCTTGGACGCTCTCAGCAGCTGAAACACGTCCTTCAAGGCCGCGCTGCTGTCCGCACTCGCTGCTGCCAGCACTGCACGGACGTCACTGTACTCGATGCTCCTCCTCGCGCCACCACTGCTTACCCCTGCTGCTGCACCCTCGCATGACGTCGCTGCTGTTGCTGCGCCTACAGCTTTCCCCTCTGGAGCCTCCTGTTCTCTACCTTCCTCAACTCCTCCATCTCCACCTTGCCCTCTCAACCGTGCTCCTCGCCCCCTTCCCTCTCCTCCTCTTCTCCCCCCGCCCTCCCGTCCTCCTCCCCTTGCCCCCCTTCCTCCCTCCCCCCCACCCGCCCCTGCCGCCTCCCCCTCCCCCCCCCCAGCATGCACGCGCACGAGCATGGCAAGGAGCCCCTCCAGCGGCCCCTGGGCGCGCCTCACAGTGAGCGACTGCAGACGGCTGCAGCGCGCCAGCAAGCCAGGGCGGAAGGACGGCAGGCCGGAGAGCGAGAGCGCGTGCAGCTTGCCTGCTGTCACGCGCAGCACGGTGGGCAGGCCTGCAGCGCTGAACATGCGGTAGCTCTTGCTGCTGAGGGCGAGGGAACAGAGCAAGGGGTTGGCCCGCACAAGGGCGGAGAGCGAGTGGGCGCAAACCAGGGGGCAGTTGTCGATGGTTAGGTGCGTGAGCGTGTGCAGTGCGCGGGCGAGTGAGTGCAGCTCGTACGGGTTGAAGGTGCAGGCGATGAGAGAGAGCGAGGCGAGCGCGGAGAAGGAGGAGAGGAGAGGCAGCGAGGCGTCGAGGTCTGCTCCGTGGATGGTGAGGGCGGTGAGGGAGGGGGGGAGGGCGGAGGAGGGGGAGGTGAGGGTAGAGAGGATGGAGCGCGAGGGGATCCAGAGGGTGAGGGAGGCGAGGGCGGAGCAGCGCGCGAGGGGGAAGGCATCCTTGGGGAGGAGGCGCAGCGTAAGGGCGCGCAGGGCGGGGAGTGCGTGCAGGGGGGGGAGGGGGAGGGGGAGGAGGAGGCAGAGGCGCTCGCTGCGCGATAAGGTGGATTCCAGCTCCAACGAGGCCAGTGCGCTGGGGGGAAGGGGAAGGGGAAGGGGGAAGGGGGAAGGGGGGAGGGGGGGAGGAAGGGGAGACAGGGGGCGAAAGTGGGGGAGTGTCCGAAACACGGGGAGGGACATACAACTACTGGCGGAAAAGAAGCACAGCAGGGGAAGGGGAAGCGGGTGAGGAGAGAGAGGGCGCGGAGGAGAGTAAGAGCTAGGGGAGAGAGCTTAGAGGGGAAAGGAAGGGAGGGGTAGGGGAGAGATGGCGGAATTGGCGGAAGTTTAGAAGGAAGGGAAAGGGAAAGGGGGCTGTGAGGAAAAACGGCACTCGATTCGTCTGCGAATTCGAACACTCACGGGCACTGCTTGGTAAATTTCTTCCACGCACTGGTGCTCATGTTAAACCCCCCCCCCGCCGCCACCAGCTTCAGGCTTTCCAATCGCGGGCAGCCCGCGCCAATACCCTCCAGCAGCTGGTTCCCCAACCCCAAGCTAATTTCCACGGTTAAACTGGTGATGCGGGTAAATACCCTCGAAAAACCGTCAAAATCTTGCAGCCATTCCCGCGGCTGCACGAGCGCTTTGGCCGGGAGGAACTCGAGGCGGAGCGCGTGCGGCGCGCGTCGCTGCACGGCGTGGAGGCGAGAGCAGGCGAGCGCAACGGCGGAGCGATCGGACGGATGGTCGACGCGCGTGAGGATGTCCTCAAGAAGCTCGTCCGGGAGGGCGAGTAATCGCGAACGGTTACCACGCCTCGCCATGATGGCGAACTGTGGCGAATCAGAGAGTTGGTTACCGAAGAGACTCGCATGCAGTCCGGTGGATGAAGTCCGCCGCCGTACTACGCAGTCTGATGGGTGAAATTCAAACGCGCGCGGAAGTGATAGTCTTCGATGATCAGCCACGTCACCGGGGACCGCAAAAAAAGGGAATCACGAGATCGGAACCCTTCTCCTGTTCTCGTCTGTGTACAAGCCGCGCTTGCTCTTATGACGGACGGATACATCAATCCGTTTCTGCAAGTGCAGGAAAGAAAAGGTCCTCACAGCAGCAATAGCGATTATATGCACAGCTTGTTGCCCGCTGGAAGGGAAGCACTCCAGTAGCACATGCTGGTGGTGATGTGGCGGTGTCGTCAACACATCGCGCTGAGAAATTGTCGAATTCGCATCCCCTCGAACATTTTGATGTTGCGAGATTGAGGATGTGCGGTAACATCACTTCCATGCATGAGAAACGAGAGACCTTTGCACAACTTCCTAGTAGAGGGGAAAACCAGAACAATAACGTTCAGCAAAAAATATTGCTTTCTTTACAGTTTCTCTAAAAATAAATATATCAACATGAAGTATGGCTGACTCAAAAGACACCCAGCTACGATGCAACCGTTTAAATGAAAAGAATGCTGCCTATTCTGTTAGTGCCCACAGTGAACTACGCTATCACCTTGATCAGATCGACCCCATATCGCCACTCGTATCTGTCTGCGCATGCAACCATGGGGGCCTGACCGTGTGGCCCCTTCTGAGGCGCTCGCTTCCAATAATGGACACCCATATACCATCCATCCATCCATGGACAGCCGAATGCACATCCATGGGCCCTGACCCTGTGCACATCACACTGTCTATATATGCCTGCTGCTTCCCTCCCACCACTCCTCACAGCGCTCCCAGATGCTCAAGTCAGGCGGGAGTCTGCGGGCCGAGGCGGTAGATGAGCATCTGCTGCAGCACGTCCGTCCACGCGTCCGGCACTCCGGGCAAGCACCAGTGCAGGCAGTCCCACTTGGTCTTGCTGTTCTTGGCGGGCCCGTAGTACTTCTGCACGTGCCCGTCGGGCCGTAGCGCCATCATGGCCGTGAGGTCCATGTGCTTGATGCTCTTGGACGCGCGCGCGGCGCGCTTCTCAATGTCGTTGAACGTAACCGCCGACTTGTCCGTGGTGGGCATGGTGGGCGGGTACGGCGCGTTGAAGTCGCACGACGGCGGGTTGGAGGAGCTGTAGTGCGACGGCGTGTAGCTGAGCCAGAGCGCCTGGCCCTTGTACTTGAGCTCGTTGTCCAGGTATTGCACCACCTGCCAGGGGGAACAGGGGAGAACGGGCGAAGGAACAACCGTTATGAGAAGTCCAATGATGGCAAGGACTGGGAAATGACGTGCAGTGACGTGTTGGAGTGGAGTGTACATGTGACACAGTAAGGCTTATGTCGTTCACAGTGGAGAGCAGGACTATTATTCTTCCTGACCGTTGGTCTCCCTCCCCCAAACACCCCCCCTTCCGCTCGAACCCCGTTCCCCCTGCGCCCCGCGCGACTCACTCGTTTCAAGGTGGTGGCGTACGCGGCGAAGCCCGTGGTGGGCGTCACGGTGCGGCCGCGCACGTACGCCAGCGAGCGCACGTCCGTGCGGCCCTGCGACGACAGGAACCAGTGCCCCGACATGAACACCGCCACGTCCACCGATGGAATCACAGCCGTCCACAGCGGGTCCAGCTGATCCGTCCACACCACGTACCCCTGCGCGCCGCCGTTGCCGCCCTCGATCTCCTTCTGCTGCGGCGGCTTGAGCCCGTACTTGGTGAAATCCGCGGGCGAGTTGGAGTAGCGCGCGAGGAAGGGCGAGATGATGGCGAGCAGCTTGATGTTGTAGTTGGGGATCGAGAGCCCCGACACGGCCTGCCCGTTGATGGTGCCCGTCCACTCCTGCACCAGCTCGCGCGCGCCCACCTGGCACGCCACGGACTGCTGGAAGTTGCGCGCGATGGAGTCGCCGATGAACGCGATCACCTGGCGCGACGGGGGGAAGGGGGAAGAGAGGGGAGGGGAGTGGGGGGGAGAGGGAAGGCGAGAGAATGGGCGGGAGGGAAGGGAGAACAGGGAATAGAAGAGGAAGAGTGAGTGAGGCGAGGAGAGGGAAACGAAGGGCTGCTTATGACTATCTGACATCATCGTGTGCTATGACCCAGACCTGCTCGATTCCCGCTTTTCTGCACGGACCTTGTTTCGCATCATGGGCAGGAAGGTGCCTATATCGAAGGTCGGCAGGTTGCAATTGCGCGGCTTCCAGCGGTAGCGCAGGTAGTTGGAGTCGGTGCGGCCATTGCGCTCGCAGTTAAAGCCCGAGCGGATGAATTTGCAGGAATTGCCGTTGTAGATGGGCCGGTACGAGTCCACGTACACCCACGCTCCTTTTCCGAGATTGCACTTCTCTGTTAACGGGGACAGCCGATCGTGAGAACGCGAACAAGGTCGGGAAAAAGGACGGGGTGAGTAAGGGAGACGACGGAGCAGCGCACGATTCTGCTTCGCTCGCGTCCGCGGATGGTTATAGCGCGTGACGCACGCCACTGATACTCCCACACAGTACACTCACTACAGGGCAGCGCTTCTGGGCAGAGTCTAAAGAATATATCTTTGTGCTGTAACGACGTGTAAGAGTAACCCACTTTGAAGCTTTCTTCTCCTGTGCGAGCCGTCCGAAGTCGCATTGGCCACCACTGTCGCGAGGTAATCGATTTTTTCGTCAGCTCGATGCTCCGGCTGCGTCCTGGTTTCGGCCGCGTCGTCGGCTGCTTCTTCCACTGCCCACGTGTCGGCTCCCTCCACCGCGGCGTCTGTCGCATCCCTCGACTCTAACGACGTCTGGGCGTTGCTCTCGCAGCTGTCGCCTCCAGCTGGCAAAATTGTCACCGGCTCGACATCGGCGACTATGCGAAAGGCGGAGAGGGACTGGGAGTCTGGTAGGTGGCTCGCTGAGACCGCGAAGGATGAAATGTTGGAGGGTCTATCTGAAAGCACGCAAGGCGAGGGGCAGAGGAAGGGAAAGAGGATCAGTGACGAGGAACGGGAGGGCGACGCAACTCGTTGGTTGAGTCGACATGGCGGACACGATCAAGAAACGGGGTGAAGCTCGCGTCTCAAATGGAATGTTGGTGTTCTCTTCGCGATACTTCTGCTGCAGTTTCTGCAATTATGGAGAATGTGTGACGGGGTTGCGCTTACCAGCGATCACTACGACAGCTAGAGCGCTGACAACTAGAAAGAGAGTGAAGCTGCGTGACAAGGAAAACTGGTTTCGATTTCCATAACACATTCTATGCAGCCAGTGTTGTCCCATGGTCCTTTCCTATGGTGTGGCCGCTGCAGAAGGGATCAAGCGCTCCTTGATTAGTGGTCTTCGTAGTTTGATGCTATCAAAATCCGTCGAAACACTCAGTGTACTTTGGTGAAGAAGTGCAGTTTGGTGAAGAAGTGCAAGTTAGTGGGGTGTGCGATTGAGAAAGGAAAGCGCCTTGGTTCGGAGTTAGGAAAACGGGCTGGATGTGGATGGAGGCTGCACGCAGCCAAAATTGGCATTTTTTTTTTCGGGAGCACCTTTGGTAAAGGCCGAGGCGCAAGCTACATGACCGTGGATTGCGGCGACCCTTGGATTTGAACTCGCGTGTGCTGCTAACCCTGGGTTGTGGTCGTGGGTTGATGCAGACACGACTACGTGGGATGGGATGCGAAAGACATATTAGGCGGGACGTGGGCAGGCCATACCTCTGCAGTGCTATTTACCCTCACGGGGTGAGCTTCTCGTAAATTGTCCCGCAAAACTCGAGGGTCCTTATGACCCGACAGAACACGGTTTCCGTTTGTTTTCGCTGCTGGATACCACTTAGCATTTCTCCACTAGGATCAGAACCTGCACATATTAGCACCTCCAGCTAGTAAGGTTATTTTCTAGTAGCTCGAGTGATGCCAGGTATGCATCATCGGGGCCGAAATTCTACCATTTCATTGGGACATGGTTTTCAGCTAAATGCTGAGCAGAGTTGGGACACCCCGTTTAGTATCACGGGTTGAAGTATCATGGATGTGGTTGAAGTATCACGGGTTGTGAGGTGGACGATTCCGAAACATCCAATCTGCTATGCAGGAATGAAAGCAAATACTTTCTGTCGATTATAAGCCAAGGAACGATATTTACCCATATGGCGCGCACTCAGACCCCTGAAATGGCAGGGTGGCGAGAAACGATAGGAGAGGCATGGACGTGGATGGGTGGTTGAGTTGAGTGGACTCCTAGCACGCGGTTCGGACAATGGAGAAAGATGCGACTCGAGTGACAGCGGTTTGGGAGCGACCCTAGGCACTGACACCACCACCCGAAGTTTGGGTAGATGATGTGCAAAACAATGTTTGCATTGACGATGCTGGAACGCAATCGAACACAAAGTAGCGAATAGCGATACACAAGGTAGACACAGAGGCCTTCTCTCGACACACTAGCCCACGTGAATTTGAAGTGGGATGGTACTGGTACAACATACAGATGTTTGTGTTACATACAGCCGTCCATGTTATTTTGAGAAAACATTGAAGGCGACCATTGAAGGGTAATTAGGCACAGCACGAGATGTACTGGTTTTCCTGACTTTGGGACGAGGAGCCCGAACCAGCTCCAGCTCCAGCTTCTATTATAGAATCAATGACAAAGCTTCAGTGTACATTTGCGAACTGGGGTTTCAAAAACCTTAGGAACTTGAAAAACTGGTTACGCAATTACAACCCCAGCCCCTCGGTTGACGGGCGAAGTGAGTCCCCAAAAGCCCCACGTCCAGATTTTCCTGAAATGCTTAGGAACCAGAAACAGAAACTGGCATAGCCGAGAGGATAGCCCACACGCTCATACTTCGGTTGGGTCGCGTAAACTTGGCAACAGTCTAGCCGAACGGCGACCTTTAGGAACGAAATCTGTTAGTGAACTAGATAACC